TGATGGCTTTGAACCACAGAGAGGTTGCTTCTTTCCAGAGGCTGTTGCCTGAGCTAGTAGGCGCCTGTTGTTTGAGTTGGATGATTGCTGATGTGCTGTCGCAGCATTCTGGATGAATGCTGAGGAGACTGTATTTGTTCATAACATCTGATGTGAGTCTTGAACTTGTTATATTTATTTCTTTGGCTGCCTTGGCTTTTGGTCACATCCTCGTCTAATGACTGAAAGATGGCAACTGTGCTTTTTTCTAGACTAAAGTGCATTTGTCAAGAACAGTCTTCACATTTTTGAATTTTTCTCTATTGTTAATGATTGTGCAGCAGAAATGAAAGCGTTTTTATCGGCTTCATTTCCATACCATTCGCCATTTACTCTGAATATCTGTGGTTTGTTTTAAGCCACGTGCCAGTGCCTCTCCTTGGAGGTATAAATCTACACAGAGTCTGGCAGAAGCTGCAGACAGGATGCCTGACTGACTGGGAGGCCCAGTGGAGGTGCTGCATGGCTCCGGGCAACCTAGGTCTCTAGCCAAGGCCTCTAAAACCCAAGGTTTCAAAGCACTTGCTTAAGATTTCTGAAGCTGATTTACTTACAGAAATCTAAGAATTACATTGTTTGCCTCGGGGGGAACAAGCACAAAAGCCATGTCAACACTGTCCCTGCTGACTCCTGACTGGTCTCACTTTTGCTTCTCAGATTTGTAATTCCTGGTTTGCCAGTGGGTGCCAGTAAGGTTGGTCCTCTCCCACTGGTTAGTCCTGAGCTTTGTATTAGTCCATTTTCTGTTGCTTGTATCAGGATACCTGAAACTGTGTAATTTATAAAGAAATAAAATTTATTTCTTACCGTTTTGGAGGCTGGGAAGTTCAAGGTCCAGGGGCATATCTAGTGAGGACCTTCTTATTGGGGACTCTGCAGAGTTGCATGGTGATGCAGGCTTGCACACGGCCGAGGCCAAGCAAGGTGGCTTTACGTGTTTTCTTCATCTCCTTATAAAGCCCCCAGTGTACTCCCTGGTAACACATTAAGCCATTAGCCCATTATTCCATTAATGGATTAAACCATTCATGAGAGCATATCCTCATGATCCAATCACCTCTTTTTAAAAATGATTTAAATTTTTATTGAAACATAATTGATTATACATGTTTGTGGGTTACACAGTTGAATTAATGACCAAATCAGGATAATTAACATATCCATCATCATACAGATGATGTAACCAATTATCTCTTAAAGGCACTACCTTTCGAATACCTTATTGGGGACTAAGTTCCAACACAAGCTTGGGACATTCAAACCACAGCCAGCCGTTGCCTCACTGGTGAAGCAAGGCCTCAGGCCAAAAGACCTCAGCACCCTGTGAGTGAGTCTTGTATTTCTGTGGGGTTCAACAGTCCCCCTTGGCTCATGGATACCTTCAGGTCACTTCATATATACCATATTTATTAGCTGTCTACTACATGCAGGACACAAGGAGTTTTTGAATATTAGCTTATTCAAGGAAAATGCCTATTAGAGACCAAAAGGCTTCCAGAGGAGAGTTGATGTCCACTGTTAGTGAATTCCTACTAAACTGTTGAAAGGTGAGTGGCATTGTCTTCAACTTGTCATATGTGAGGAATCTGAAGTTCAGAGAAGTGGGCCTTTAGTTTAAAATTTAAACTCTGTATACACTATACCCTAGATTTGTGGAAATGATTTTAAAGGAGCGGTGATGGGATAATGTATTTTCTAATCCATTTGATTTTTAAGGAGCTCCTATTAGAGCTCTGAGTGACAGTTTAGTGTCAAAAGTAGTTGTTAGTTTTTCACTACCAATTTTGAGAAAATTGATGTGGAAACCTAAAGCTAATTATAATGAAGAAGTAAGTGGTTCATGAAGAGATGAGAGGACCCAACAGGAATACAATTCTCTGTTTTAGAATTAGATTATGGCAGAATGCTTGTAAGAAACAAGCATTTTAATTTTTGTATGAAATAAAATGTATCTTCTGCCTCCAAGAAGATGTGAATTGTAAAAATCGGAGTTGAATCATATGAAACTGTCTCTGCCTTTTGAAAATCTAGATGACTCTACGCACCAAATTTATTTTTTGGTAAAGAAATACAATAAATTTTTAAGAACAATATGTTCAGAGAATCTCAAGTGCCTACAAAGTGACTACTGTAGCTGAGGGCTGAAATGGGAATGATGATTAAGTGCTTGCTTTCTTTGGATGTCTCAGCTCGCCTAAGTGAGCATAGTTTAGGTGACTGCATGAGCATCTGCATGGCAGCTGCTCGGGCTGTGAGTTAATGCCAGAGAAGACAGAATAGTTGGCACACCGTTTCTAATTTCATTATTGTACCAAGAGCCAGAAAAAAAATAGAAGTTTCTATTCTTTTGAAGTTGGAAGATGTTGTCTCTCTCTTTTTTTGGGGGGGGGGAGGGGCTTCACACACTTGCCCGTCAAAAGTGTCATCAGGATACTTGTAAGCGTGGTGTGACAACTTAGAGCATAAGCTGATTTGTTTGTGCTACTGTAAAAAAACAAATCAAACTAGGTGAATTTTGTCTGGTTGTGGAATCGACATTCCGTTGTAGGTTTTCAAATTTCTAACGTAGACTCCCAGATAATTTTGAAATACCATATACGCATTTAAAGCAGTGGCTGGCAAACTGTTTCTTTAAAGTTTTATTGGAACACAGCCTCGTGCATTCATTTACATATTGTGTTTGACGGGCTGCTTTCCAACTACCACAGCAGAGTGGAATAGTTGCAACAGAGTCCTTTTGTCCTGCAGTCCTAAAATATTTACTGTTTGACCCTTTATAGAAAAAGTGTGCCAACCCCTGGTTTAAAGCATTGATAGTAGCTTTCTATTGGATGCCATTTTTGCAAGGTTGCTGAAGGTCTGGTTGGCCACTAGGATATCTCCCCACTGCGACAATATGTCTTAATGAAGACATATGGTGACACTGGTGAAGAAGAAACGTTGAAGATACTGGTGAAGAAGAAACTTTCTTGGAAAAACATTTGAAAAGAGTGGACAGGCTTTCTCCTCTGGAGGAATCATTTTTCTTCTCCTGTTCAGTGAGAGGGTCAATTTGGCTGGTGGCTTCAAGTCCTAATTTTAACTTTCTCTGATGATGTGGCCGTTAACGTTGAGTATTTGGAGGACTGTCATGTGGAAGAGGTGTTAGATCATGAGACTATAGAGAACTGAATTAGGATTAATGGGTGCAATGTAGCACTTGCTAGGAGAACTGCCCACAAGTAGAATGTACTTAGTGGGTGATGAGCTCCCTGTCCGTAGAGATATTCAAAGATAGGCTAGATGGCCACTTGGTACATAGAACTCAAGCAGGGGATGAGAGGTGGTTGTGCCAGAAAACCTCTGAGGCCACATTCCAACCTTGAAATTCTGGTGGCTTCTTTGGTTAGAGATCTTTATTTCCAAGCTCAGATTTTGACCATAATTTAATTTGTTGAGGGTCTGTAAAGGCATCTTGGAAGACTTTCTGAAGATATAATATAGGTCAAGCCAAAGCAGTATAAAGGGGGAGGGAAGCTTTTCTGGTGGGCAGAGATGGCAGTGGGAAGGCTGACCCAGAGCCAGTCTCCCCTTTGACCACTGCAGTAACACAGGCCTCAGGAAGGGCACTGCTTCTTACCAGCTGTAAAGCCTTAGGATGAACCGTCTCTCTTCAGCTGCTGCTACCATCTTTGCTTTCTGCCTGAGCTTCTGGAAAAAGAAGGACCTGGCTGGGGGTATAGCACAGATGGAGATATCAAAACAGGGTTTCTGTATTGCCATTTGCCAGAGAGTTTACATTGAGACCTGGCCATGAAGGGTAGGTCTGGGTGAAGCCATATGTTCTCTGTGCAGCTCTGCTGTCATAGCATAAAAGCAGCCATAGACAGTATATAAACGAATGAGTGTGGCTGTGTTCCAATAAAACTTTATTTACAAAAACAGGCAGTGGGCCAGGTTTGGCCCTGGGGCTGTAGCTTGCTGACCCCGGATAAAGACATCGAAAATTAGAACTAGCAGAAAACATCAGCTTCAATCCTCTCATATTTTGGAGAAAAGGTGAAATGACATGTCTAAAGTCACACTATGGTTGAGCCAGGATTTCAGCCAGAGTCTGCTTTTAGTCTAGTGCCCATTTTGTGATACTGTTTTGCCTTGGCTGTGTGGTCACATTATTTGATTTTTAAGAGAAGGCTGCGTGAATGAAAGAAATACCTGCTTCAGGTGGTCTGTGAATAGCAACAGTGAGAGCTCAAGGATGGAATTTTAACAGTGGCAACCCTTTATCCCTGTGACCTGGTCTCACTTTTTCTTAGAGAGGCTCTGCTCACAGTAAAACAAAATATAGATTGCATAAATTCATATGGAGAAATAATGCCCTGGAGTTGTGAAAAAGAAATGGGCTCCCGCAGCTGCGTCACAGGATTTGATCACTTCAGCTGAGAGTGCCAGGAGATTTGAGACAGATGTTTTCAGACATGCCGCATGCCTAAAACATTTCCAGGGGTCGGGCTGCAAATAGTGACTTAATAAGTGGAGAAACAGGGAAAGTATGCAAGTTGAGGACACAAGAGTGTATTCAGCACTAGGTGCATGGCCAACCTCTTTGCATTACATCTGCCTGTCAGGGTTGGCTCTTTAATCTGTCGTGCCCTGGGTATTGCTCTTTGTCTGCCCGTGAATAAAGTGCAGCATTGTGGTTAGTAATCCCACTCCAGTGACTCGACTTCAAATGTGGTTTTGGAGTGCATCCCAGAGTTCTGTTTGCTAAGCTTCCTACTCCTGTTTCAGAGACACCACTGGATACAGAGCAGCGAGCACTAAAGGCTTCCCTCTTTCCTTAAACCTGTCGGGTTGTGGGCTCTCTCTTTCCCCTCTTGCTTCTTTCTTTTCTTTTTTTCTTTTTTAAGCCTTCCAAGGCAAGTTCATGGATACTAAGCTGATGTGTTTGTTGTTCTTTTTCTCCCTGCCTCCGCTCCTAGTGAGTAACCACACTGGCCGCATCAAGGTGGTCTTTACTCCGAGCATCTGTAAAGTGACCTGCACCAAGGGCAGCTGTCAGAACAGCTGTGAGAAGGGGAACACCACCACTCTCATTAGTGAGAATGGTCATGCTGCCGACACCCTGACAGCCACGAACTTCCGAGTGGGTGAGTTCCTCCACGGTCCCTAACTGTCCTTACCGAGTAGAGAGTTATGAAATTGTAACGCTTAGGCACCCCTTTCATTCACACTGCTCTCTGCTTGAATGGGTTTCTGTCTGTGAATACAAATATGCTGCTTTCATGAGATCTTTGAAATTACTTTTGGAATAATTTTTAAGCTGATTTTTGGTTTGTTAGGGAAATGGCAACTAGAGAATTTCCCCTTATTGCTTAGCTGTGCGGTGATGGGAATGTATATAGTAGAACAGAAGAGGATAGGTTTTAGGTTAAGACCCTAACGCATAACTTGCATTGAGCAGCGTCAAATTTTATTGGCCCAGCGATAAGTAGAATTTGCGTGAGATTTGACACATATTATAAAATTTGGAAGGTGGTGATGGAATTTAAATTTTTACTTCATAAGAAAACGGTTCTTTAAAAAAAATCTCTAAATATTCTCAAAAACCTGTACTTTGGTTGTAGAAAGGGATATAGACCTGCATCTTTTGCCACATTTCTGTTATATATCATAAGACTAAATTATAAATTGATTCATAACATGGATTTGGGGAAAGATATACTAGTGGATTACTGTCAGCACTCAGAAACTTTAATTTTAAAACGAGCTAGTGGTTACTGACTGCAAAAAGGCTTTTTGCTTCTTTTAAGTTTTTGTTTCTCTTTTACTTTTTTGTAAATGGAGAAAGTATTGCGGTCCACTGAGTGCTGTCATACTGCCATGTTGTCATGCAATACAGGATTTTTGCCACAGAAAAATGTCTTTTATTATTTTTTGACCAATTATGGTTTGCCATGTGTACTCAAATAATCGCAGACACCCACGTTACTTTATGAGTTACTCACAAGAATAACCCAAATGTCAGACAGATAATAACACTGGCTAGATCTGGTCTTTTTATGGAATATTGCTGTTTAGTCTTGGGAGTGTGTGTCTGGGGGTTGGGGGGGAGGAGAGGGCTGTCTATTTCAAACTGATTTCCATCAAGACAAAATACAAGGGACAGACAGCCTGAAGTCCATATTGGTTCTTTGATTATTCTGCTGCTTTATGGTGAAGTGGAAGCAGTATTTTTGATTGTCAGTACTTGGAAAAAACATGTGCTCAGAGATACGATTTGAAAGGGTATTGTAAATTTCCTGGCTGTGATAGGGGTACTTTGGGCATACTTTTTAAAAGAATTTAGCTGTTACGTGCCAAATGGCACATTATGTTTAACAGGGCAGGGAACTGAGTCTAATAGGAAGTGTGTTTAACTGGTGATCAGGAAACTGGATTCTGGTCCTGGTCCTGCTACCAACTAGCTAATCCACAGGGCATGCCAGTTAATGTTTCTGGGCCTCAGTTTTTCTCATGTATAAAATAAATGGGATTGTATTTAGTGACTTCTAAAATTCAGTCCATCTCTAAAACCTTTTGACTTTTTATTAGCTATAAGTAATATTATCTTCTGGCTTTTTTGGAGGGCTGTAGACAAGGGGGGAAAGGGAAAGGCAATTCCTAATAGGTTATTATGGCTTTCCTGGCTTTCTCTTGCTTTACTTTCCTCGGTTACTTTTTCTTAGGCACTGCTTCCCCTCCTCCATGATCGACGACAGCGTCTGCTCCTCCTCCTTCCATTTATCGTAAATCTTCACAGTAGCAATGACAACATGATCTAATGGGTGGCAATTTTTTTGGCTTATAGTATATTCATTTGGAAACTAAATATTTGAAGGCTTTGAGAAACAGAGGAAGTCTACTTGTTAAAACATGTTGCACACTTTCCTTTCTGGCATTGAACCAGATGTTTAGGAACAGAACACACGTAGCCTATTCAAAACACAAAAAGGGGCAACATTACTTACAAAAGCATTTCAAAATCAGAGCTCAACTCTCCACAAAGGATTGGCAGAATAGTTTAATTAAAAAAAAAAGGGAGGGATGACCATAGTTATAAATAGTTTCACATTGGAAATCACGGGGAATATTTCACTTATGTCCTGAGCTATTTCCTTCTTCTATTTACATTTTAGTTCAAATATTGGATATTTTGAGGGGAAAATTTTATGATTTTTCTTTATTGAAGAATGGTAGTTTTGTAGAACTTATAGATTATCCTTCAAAAATATAAAAAACAAAAAATTCATTTTTGCGTATGTATCTTTTTTGGATTTTGCAGGTTTAATATATTTTAATTATTTACAAGAAGTGGTTTTCTAATTTATTTTCTCTCTATATATGTTTGTTTACAGTATATTAAATCTTCTGACAAATAAGATATACATGGAAAATAGTACAGTTTGAGGAAAATTCAAAGTTTATTATGACTTGTTAGCTACTTGCTCTCTTTGTCCTCTGGGTTTACTGAAAGGTGGGGGCTGGCAAATTTTTTCTGTAAAGAGCCAGGCAGTATATATTTTAGACTTTGTGGGCCCTGCTGTGTCTGTCACAGCTACTCATCTCTGCACTGTAGTGTGGAAGCAACCATAGACATGTGCAGGAATAGGCGTGGCTGTGTTGCAAAACAGTCGAGGGGTTGAGTTTGGCTCCAGTGCTGTTGTTTGCTGACTGCCTGCTCCAAGGAGTTAGACTAATACAAGGAAAGCTATATGGACTTCGTAGTTAAGGCACCTTCATTAAATAATCCATTTTGTTAATCAGAACAACAGAAATAATTTGTGAGCATTTGTAGGTGATTTACAGTTTTTTTTTTGAAGGAAGTGGAACAGACGTTATTGTCACAATTTTTTCAATAAGGAAACATGGGTAGAGAGGGTTAAGTGAGCTTGCCTTAGTTATACAGCAAGTCAATTAGCTAAGACGGTAACCTAGGGCTCCTTACATCATATTTTCCTTACCTCCCTGGAGTCTGACCATGATGTATGGGAGGGACAAGGTGGACCTCATGGAGTTGGGTCTTGGGGGAGGGCTGTATGGTATAGTAAAGAGAGAAAATAACTGAGAATCCAAACCTGGATTCGAATCCTAGCTTCGTTACAGCCATCAGTCACGTTCTGGCTCTATATCCTTTCTGGGCCTATGTCACCTCATCCATACATTGCAGGTACAGGTTGAGTGTCTTTATCAGAAATGCTTGTTACCAGAAGTTTTTCTGATTTAGGATTTTTTCAGATTTTGGAATATTTGCATTATATGTACTCAGTTGAACATCCCAAATCCAAAATGCTCCAATGAGTATTTCCTTTGAGTGTCATGTCGGCGCCCCAAGTTTCAGATTTTGGAGCATTTTAGATTTTGGATTTCTGAGTTTGGGATGCTCACCCTGCACTAACAGATACGTAGAGCGCTGTTCTGTAGCAGGCTCATGGGATGCCCTCTTCCTTCATTCATGCTTCTGTGTTGGTGGTCTGCTCTGTGGTGACTGTGAGTCTGGGCTGTCCACATGTGAGAGGCAACAGGTGCTTTTCACACGACTTTTAAGCATATAGTCTCTGCTTTTGAGTATTCAGTGGGAGAAGTAATAACTTTCACTTACTGCCATTCTTAAAATGAGGCCCAAACGAAGATGATATCCAACTGACTGTGAGTCTGGGCTGTCCACATGTGAGAGGCAACAGGTGCTTTTCACACGACTTTTAAACATATAGTCTCTGCTTTTGAGTATTCAGTGGGAGAAGTAATAACTTTCACTTACTGCCATTCTTAAAATGAGGCCCAAACGAAGATGATATCCGAGGGAAGTACTCTGAAATTCTAGAATAAACTCATTTTTATGAATGGTGATGTTGGTATGGTATAATAGAATATATACATTAGTGGCGTTTCCTATAAAGCAGATTTTTGATCATAATGACTTCTTTGGTGGCAGTCTCAGCTCTGCCTTCTTGGTCCCCTCACCTTGCTTTTTTAAAAAATGGAAACATATCTTCAGTTGTGGTGGGCCAGCAGGTTCACTGTTTTTGTTTTAATGGATTCTTAACATTTTATAGGGACATGGTGAAGATGACCTTGTGGGATTTTTAAGTGTTTATAAAGTCTTAAGTTCCTCCAACAAAAAGAGCATATGAATTCGTGTTGTCACAATTAGAATATTTCTAATACAATAATACTGTCACTTGGCATAATTTATCTGTACAGACACTGAAAAGCAGTCATGGTTGCTAAAATAACACATTTGGTTTATATGACGTTGCTTTCTCTGAGGAGTTACAAAGGACGTATGTTCCATTAGCCCCAATTAAATAGTTACACAAAAGTATTTGATAACTTGAAAAGTATGTTCTTATATGTTATTTTATTTGATGCTTACTGCTGCAGAGAGAGGTAAACTGTAGTATCCGTAATTTGTAAATACGAGTACCAAGGCTTTATTGGCTTGACTAAAGGTGACTTTAAGTCAGGTTTTCTTATCCTAGAGTCTTAGTACCTCTGGCTGTCCCATGTTGCCTCCTGTGACCATATATTAAGTGTTTATGCATAAAACACACTACTAAGTTTTCCAAGATAAGCAAATCATAAAGCTGCCTTCTAAGAGCTTATGCTTTGAGGAGGAGATGAGCAGTATATGTAAATAATCCTAAATCAAGGCAGAAAGCAGGAACCCAGAGAAGGGAACTGTCACTTCTCCCTGAGGGAGGATGCTTACAGAGAAGAGGGGTCGCATGCAGCTCTTCTGTTTAGTGCACTGTGCCACTTTCACTCCCAAACATGACGCTGCATGTGGGAGCAGAGTAAATGCACCTTGCCTGATTGTCGACTGACAGGGGCAGTGGGACTTGAAACATTGGTAAGTTCCAAAATAAGGATGGGTGGGGAGTGGAAGGAAGAGAGAGGTGACATTGCTATGAGAAGGAAGAATTTACCCATTAGAACTGGGCATGGGGACAAGAAGGCATAAGTGGTTTCTGGGACCTGGGAGTAGCTTCACTTAAACACAGGAAGCATGAAAGGTAAAAATAGTAGATAAGAATAGTCCAGGAAGGTAGATTGGGGCGAGGCTGCAGAGCACCTTGAGTTTCAAGCTTAGGAACTACTCTTTCAGGAC